TTTGTTCTTTTTTCCCCCCAGTTAAATCAAGACGTAATGCAGATGAAAATTCTACCTCTCCTTTCAACCGCTCGATGATAGCCGGATTCGTTGCAGGGTTTATTGTCCTAGTGCTGATTCTCATTGTTGTGATTACTTCATATAAACGGTAAATACGCATACGCAATCCAATAACGATTTTAAACATAAATGTTCGATAAAAATTAAAGTACTTTTTGTCCCATATATACAGTCGAAATCGCAATCGTAAAAATAAACACGAAGATATAGTTATGGACCCAGTACGTGTACCACTGGCTGTTATTGACGATACGCCATTCCCAGAGAATAATGATTATATTGATTCCCTGGAGGTGTCTGCAAAAAGTTCTTTTGACACAGGTAAATGAATTTAGTTATAAATCATATGAAGCTAAGTTCAGCAGATTCATTCAATTTGTTGCGCCGTACCGCAGCCAACAGCTACACTAGTCTCTTTCGACACATTTTTGACATCCTTTTGATAAACTTTAATGTCTTCCTTTCTCAACTGAGTAATAGTCGGTGCTGCGATGAAGCTCTGGAGATTGAGATTGCGATCTAGTCGTCATGGCAAGATCGATATCAGATAGACATTTAAACAATAAACAATTATTTTGGTAACGTATTGATTGTATTTACCAAAAGAAAACAACGTAGAAGATCATACATATGAAGAAACTGAAATCTCCATTCCTGATTTGATCATGATGCCTGCCCAGAGTCCAATAGAATTTCTTCCGCCAGACAAAAGCAAGCTCACGGAAGAATTTAAGGTATGTCTTTGCCCACTTTATGTAAAAGTAACTCCTTCATGTCACCACTCATTTATTCATATATTATATTTATTTTGTAAACGTTTGAGTGTAATAGAGAACATGTTTTTCGCGAAAATCGTTACCGTACGTCCGACTTTTTAGGAATACTTTGCAAATTTACCGGTTTGACTTCTTTCTTGTTTTGGCTGAATAACAACTACAGAGCATACCCGTGGAGCCGATGCATGAATGCAAGATGGCAAAGGGACCTGCCAACAAGATAAAGAATCGWTACAAAAATATTGTTGCGTGTAAGTCATAAATGCCTATATCACTTCCCTTATAACAGGTATCTCTCTGCTGATAAATCAGGTACATTCATGGTTAGGCAAATTCTGATTTAAAATTACCGAGATCTTTTGCAGCTGCTTTTTCCTTCAACATATGAATGAATTTTTGCTAAGATGCTACTACGAGATTCACATTGCATCATAATGGGGGTTCTATAATATTAGGGATAATGACAAGTCTCAATACTTTTTTGAGTAGGTGGTTTGCGATAAGGAAATTGTTTTCATGAAATATATGTTCTAACTTCAGATGACCACTCGCTTGTTACTTTGGAACCAGTTAATGATGATCAAGACTCGTGTTACATCAATGCATTCTTTATTCGCGTAAGTTTCGCACCATATCATAATATGGCTATATAAAATTAACTGTTCTGATTGTCGCGTCCTGATTGGTTTGGAGCGCGTGCTTTATGAGAGTACATTACACGCGCACGCATGCACACTTTCCGTTGCGTCATTCCTATCCAAAATGACTATTATTATAATTTGTATTTTATATTAAAAAAATTACTTGCTTGCTGTGCTGTGTGCCGTTATAAAGCACTTGGGGAATGACAGAACACTCGAGAAATGTCCAAAAGCACTCCGCTACACGTTGTGCTTCTAGTAACACTTCTCTCGTGTTCTGCCAACGCGAGGGTTGTTATTACTACACACAGCACGCGCGCACGTTTTCTATTTCTTCAATGGGATGAATAATTAGTGATTATTAGAGTTAATTAGATTTTCTATTCTAATTTTCCAACTTATGAAATTTGTGCCATTGACGCTTGCTTATGCTTTTTTGACTCTATATGTACAGGGATATGACGGAGCTCCTGCAGCGTCGATTGCAACACAAGGTAAAAAAACTTTAACTACTACCATTCTATTGGAAGTGCAGAGGCATGCAATATACAAACATTGCATTTAGAAGGTTATCCTCGGATTCCTTAGTTTGCGAAATAGTATTTTCTATACCGGAAAGCGTCAGAAGCATTCCAAAACTTGAAGGCTGCCTGTCAAAGACCTCTCCTTTCCAATACGTAAACTTTCAAAATGTTCGAGAAACTGTATTGTTTCATGTCAGAATAATAAAAAAACATTGCCTTTCCCTGTGCGTTCTCCCGCCTCTCACTCCGGCAGTCGGCGCCGTTATACAATAGAGGTCTACAACTGTAACGTATTACAATCTTACAATATAACTTTAGGTCCATTGAACAATACATTGGATGACTTTTGGCGCAAAATATCATCAATTGCCATGCTTACCAATCTTCTTGAGCTTGGAAAGGTATGTATGTATAACACAATGTCCATTTCTAGGGCACATGGCAAGACAACATGTGATTTTTTGAAATGTATCGTTTTTTGTTTCAGAGAAAGTGTCATCAATATTGGCCTGATAAAAATTCTGCTCGGTATTCAGACATCACTGTCACCAATCACAAGACAGAGGTTTTTGCATACTTCACCATCCGTACTTTCTTTGTGTCGAAGGTAACCAAAATGAAGTTATGTTAGTTTTATGTTAGTTAAAAAAAATGACCTCATTTTCTTCTTTTTTCAAGGACGGCGTGCCAAAACGAAAAGTTCTTCATTTCCATTTCACCGCGTGGCCAGACAATGGAGTACCTCTACATGCTACGGCTGCACTTGCATTCAGGCAAAAGGTGCTTGCAATGTCTTCCGACGATAACAGACCAGTGGTTATCCATAGCAGGTTAGTATCAATGTATAAATTGAGTATCCAAGAAAAGATTATAGATCATACATAAAGGAATTTTACACATTTCTGCTGCTTGTACAGTCCTATACCTAGCTATTATCTAGACCTCTTGGTTTTAGTTTCACTGACATCAATCAATAATGAAATAAATTGTTGGATGATCGGAAATAAAGCTAATGGGTCTTCAAGATGACTTTTTCACAGAAACATGACAAGTGTAGTCTCAAAGCTCGTTTGTACGTATTTGATTTGACAGCGCTGGTGTTGGAAGGACTGGTACCTACATAATGATTGACGCAATGCTTCGACAAGCCCAAACTGAACAGCAAACTCTGGATATTCCTGGTTATCTCCATGCAATACGAGACGACAGACCATACATGGTGCAAACCCTAGTAAGACATCTTATTATTTTTTTGGACACTAAAACATATTAATCGCGACCATATTTTATCTCGTTCAGCCTACACTCGGGCAGAGCCATAACCACAGTAAACATAGGACATAGAACATAGTCCTCAAAACGATTACAGCCGTGACAAGTAATTATATATAATTTCAATTTCATCATTAGGAAATAATAATAATTATTATTCTGTTATAGGAACTAAAGATTGTATAGATAAAATGAGAAAACATCAGATTGATATCCTAAATATGTATCTTATTTGAATACTGCTTTGATTCATTAGGAGCAGTACATCTTCGTGAACATGGCTATTTATGAGGCTCTCACTTGTGGAAACACAGAATTACAGGCCCACGAACTCCGTAGCATCATGCATCGGTTGTCAACTGTGGATATACGCCAGAAACGTACAGGTTATGCGCTGGAGTTTCAGGTATAAAATTCATCCTATAAATTGCGAACTTGTTTACGGTCCTGACACAATCACCTAAAGAT